GTTTAGGAATTAGGGTTTAGGGTTTACCTGTATAAGTAGAGATGCATTAGTTTGGGGTTTAGTGATGAATTGTCCTTCGATGTTTGTTTGTCCTTTGTGGGGTTTTAGCCATAAAGAAGAAATATCTAGTAATCCCTGCAGCAGCAGCACTACTTGCTGCTGCTGCTGCTCCTGCTGCTCCTCCTCCTCCTGCTGGTCCTGCTGCTGTTGCTGCTGCTGCTGTGCTGCTGTAGGGTTTGGCGTTAGCAGCATCTTTCTATGTACAGCAACAGATGCACCGCTTCCTACCATGGCAGCAGCAGCAGCAGCAGCAGTTGCTGCTGCTGCTGCTGGTTGTTGTGTGTCTGCAGCAGCAACCTGCTGCAGCAGACAACGGAATGTTCTTACATAAGGAAAGAACAAATAAGGATTTAAATAACTTATTCTTCTTGTTGCTGTTGCTGTTGCTGCTGCTGCTGCTGCTGCTGCATTTATATATGCATTATAATCCTCATTGAGGTGTACGTACACCTGAGGAGAATGTTGTATTGCTGCTAATGGTGTTGCTGCTGTTATAGATACCTCATTTGTTCCTCCTGCTGCTGCTGCTGCTGCTGCTGCTGCTGCAGCTGCATAGGATGTAGCTGGGATTCCTGCTGCTCTTGCTGCTACTGCAGCAGCAGCAGCAGCAGCAGGTACCCAAGAAACAAGGAAGGTTTGCCCTAATATACGAGAGACACAAACCCCTAATCTTACCCTTACTTCCCTATCTACCTGCAGCAGCACTCTGCTGAGGGCTCTCTTCTGCCTCCGCTGCTGCTGCTGCTGCTGCTGCTGCTGCAGTAGTTGTTCCCGTCTTCGCTGCTGCTGCTGCATCTCTACACCCTTAGGACCGGTTGCAAGAGTAGTAACATGAATAAGATTATTATTGTTCTTGCTGCTACCGCTCTTGCTGCTGCTGCCGCTGCTGCTGCTGCTGCTGCTGCTGCTGTATTGAGGATCGTGCCTCTGTATATAAATACTAAGGAATCCCTCAGGCAAGAAGGATAGACCAGGATGAATAGACAGCAGCACATCTGCTGCTGGCTTAGTAGGACTAGGTAGGGGCTGATAGCCTAGCTGCTCCCATTCGTGCTGCTGCTGCATCTGTTGCTGCTGCTGCTGCAGTTGCTTCCATGGCAGCAGCATACGTGTATAAGGATTAAAGAATACTGGATCCTCATTAAGATAACCAGATACTGTTAAGGACAGCAGCAACTCTTGCTGCTGCTGCTGCTGCTGCCCTTCATCTCCTGCTGCTGCTGCTGCTGCTGATTGTTCTTGCTTTGACGATTCAGTAGGTAGTGCTGCTCCTCCGCTTGCTTCTGCTGCTCTTGCTGCTGCTGCTCCTGCTTTAGCTGTTGTGATTTCTCCTGTTGCTGTTGCTGCTGCTGCTTCTGCATCTTCTGCTGCTGCTGCTGCTGCTGCTGCAGTAGGCAGCAGCAGCTTAACAGCAGCAAATGCCTCAATTGCATCATCACGTATTTGTAGAGGAAAACCAACAGGAGTTAAGTTGCCAGGAAACGCAGGAGAACGAACAGGGAATATCCTATATATATATACACACACAATTAGGGTTTAGGGTTTAGGGTTTAGGGTTTAGGATGCGGAGCAACAGCAGCCAGCATCAACAGCAGCAACAGTAGGAGCAACAGCAACAGCAATAGCAGCAGCAGCAGCAGCAGACTAACCATTGTCTGCCTCCTTTTAGTACAGCAGCTCCTTTAGGGGGTTTATGCGGATTGTTTTCTTTGCGACTCTTTGTTAGCCAAGATTGAGGAGGAAGAGGAGGATCCGCATTAGGCAACTTTTGGGTCCATTCCTGCAAAAAAAAAAAAAAAAAAAAAAAAAAAAAAA